AAGAATGAGGCATCGGCATTTAACAAAACCAGAAAATCATCTACATAACGGAAGACCTTTGCTACTTTGGTTTCCCCAAGCGGTTCAAAGATGGTGCAGTCAAGGCCCGCTAAAAACAAGTCACTAAGCACGGGGCAATGCGAGAACCAATACATAGCCCTTGCCGTTGCAAATAGATGTTACCCTCCCAAGTCGCAAGGGGCGACCTCAGATACATGTCAAGGAACTCCATGAAGCCTTCAAATGAAAGTCCCGCAGCATTTTGAAAGGCAACTGCACCAAACACATCGATCTAGTCACGAATGCAGGTAAGGAGTCTATTATGCGGCAAGGAGTAATACAAATCCTTAATATCAACGAACAGGCCATAAAGCTAGTGTGCTGGTTGTCTTTAAGAAAAGGAATGACATTATCAGAACTCTTCACGTGAGAAGGATCGTGAATCTGAAACAGCTTCAAACTTTTTTGCAGAAACAAAGCAACCGACAAAGCAACCAACCAACAGCCTCTGAAACAATGACACGCAAATGACAATCTACCTTGTGTGTCTTTGCTACAGAGAAAAGCTCCAAACTAAGCTCTTTCCCAGCGTCAATTTTCCTGACAAGTTGTTCGAGGTTTAGCCTCTTACGCAGTTTTTTCGCCTCAGATTTTTGCTTAGTTAGGAAGACGCTGTCCTTAGGCAGGAACACAGACGAAATAGCCACAAGTGCCTTGGATTATAGAGGTCAACTGGAAGGACAAGAAACCCCCTTCTTTATCTGATGCTAACAAAGACAAAGAGTTATCTTTCAAAAAGGTGGCCACCTGCTTAACCGGGATCTTGCTTGCGCCAGGCGTGCGTTTGGTCAACATATCCAGTCCCTCCGAGACGCACCTCTCGGCCTCTGCTTCTGGAACTTTCCTGGCAACATCCCAGACAAGGATTAAAAGTTCCGCCCGCGATTTCTTCGGCTTCACGGCAAACTTCGGACCCCGGTCCAAAACACGACGGACGCTCTCTCAGGCAGGGAGACCTGACCCAGCGTGTGGACGGTGGACCTACTTGGTGCAGCCTCCTTGGGTGTCCAAGCACGTAGCTCCGAAAGCATGCGTGCCAATGGAACTCAGCAGTAGCATCAGCGAGTTCGCGGCCCTCACGCCTGAAGAAGTAGAAAATCTGAAGAAGTAGAAGCCGAAGTAAAAGACGAAATAGAAAGTTGTTAGTGAGCGCTGTGTGAAAGGAGTGTTCTTTGGGTGTGTGAATGCTTGAATGAAAGTTTGTCGAGTAAGCTAAACGTCGACAAACCTCACGCCACCTCCCGCCTCCGTGACCGTTGGAAGTCGTGCCTTGAAGCATGAGAAAAAGGCACTCCCTGTAGGAGCGGGCCTGTCGATGCCATTCCGAACAGAGGACCTTGCACATCCCGACTCCGTACCCCGGCGAGGGTTTGAAGCCGCCGAAGAGGATCTTAAGCCCAGTTCACATGCAGCGGTTTTGGCCCTAGAGCGGCGCGATTTCTGCCGTTGTGGCGCTCTGGCCAGCACCAGCAATTGAGCGGCGCGAGCGCCGCGACGGCAGAAATCGCGCCGCTTTAGGGCCAAAATCGCTGCATGTGAAACACGCTTTAGGAGGAAGCTGCCGGTGGCGAACGTGAAATGAGAACCTTCGTGCTTTGCAGACGGCGATGGCGTAGATGGCGACGATGAAACAAGGCTGAACAGTGAAACAATCAAAAGAGCCCTAGAAATGAACGAGGCTAAAGTTGAGGCTTGGACTTTTCGCGCTGTTTTTAATTCCGAATTATGTACCAACTCGCCCAAACCTCGACTTTAGCTTTCGTTTAAATTCAATAACGGATTTTTTTTTATTTTTTGGTACCTGAAAAATAAATGTGGATTGAATGAATAATACGAAAGTATATAGTTAATTGTTTAATGGTTGAAATAGTGCGTTTTGCCAAAACAACGCGAACAATATATTCTCAATTTAGCGGTTGAAACCGGTTTGAAGCATCAATATTGCTCTCCAGAACAGAATCGGAACTGAACGGAAAGCCGTGAATGCGAACATGAACCGAACTGATAAAGATTTCGGTTTGGCACCATGATATCTTTGCATTTGTTTCAGAATAACCCGACTTCTAGATGACACGATTTTATGCTGAGCCATTTTCACACTCATCGGGTTTCCCCTTTCAGAAATTTACAGTGGTGTTTTGTTTTTCAATTTATTCGTATTGTTAAACGACGGTGAATTAACTTGAGTTGAAAACGAAGATAGGACTAGAAAGCAACGTGTGAATATAAACTCAAAATTAGTTAGAGAAACACATCTGTAACAAGAGAAATGTACCAACAAAATCAAAGGATATCAAACGGCTGAAACACTTGGCGAGTGTCTAAGGTGTTCATATGCCGCTTTAAAAGAAAGACAGAGCGGAAGGTACACTAAACTTTTACGAACTTTCCGTTAGGCTTCGTTCAATGGAACTGTAAGGTAAAGAATAATTATAGCAATCGAACGCGTGAATCATGCAGCCGTGGGGGTTATATTGTACCATCATTTTATTGCTTCCATAAGAAAATATCTTTCTCTGTGTATTCGGTTGTTTGATCTCAAATTTAAAAGATTTCTTGCTCTTTATCTGTAATCATGCCTGCCCACAGCAATATGCCTTTCCGGTAGTACACTTCGCGACACTGTTACCACTCATTCACACTGGAACCGGATCCGCGTTCGCAAAGCGGTTGAGAACGCGGTTGTGTAAAGATCCCATACAATTGCACGCGCACTTGATGTCATCGAGTGCGCGTGCAATGGCACTCGATCTTCATACAACCGCGTTCGCAACCGCTTCGCGAATGCGGCTCCGCTTCCAGTGTGAATGAGCGGTTAGCGCGAACATGACATCGGCGAATTTTCGCGTTTTAATTTTAAATAGTATTACCGAGCACAAACTTCTATCCCTTACATTGTAGAACTAAATGAGCTCTTTCAGTAGCAATAATAATTCGGATGACATCCTTTGGTTTCAAACAGAAAAACAGAAAAAACCGGCGATCGCTTGTTCCAGCTAACAGTGTCGCGCTCTGCACATCACGGAACAAATTAAAACAAAAAAAAGAACATATAAACGACCTAACACTATATACAAAATGCAAAGCAATGTAACTATACACGCATACACATGAAAGATCCCGCCATCACTACGCTTTTCTATTATTCATTCGAAGTCAAAAACATGTCACTTGCAGATGACTAAAAAAAACTGTACAGAACGTCTTTCAATCAAGTGAGAAGCGAGATTTTGGAGCATATATCAACATGGGACAATCCCGTTTATCTTGAGGAGCCACAGAGCACAAAGAAGCTTTTTTTTTCAATACTAGACTTGAGCACGACACTGTAACGTTTTAAGGTTTCTGCATAGATCACAAATTATAAATGATACGTTTTTCGCAAAGTGTATGCCTGCCTTTTAAAGTGCCTCTTCCACTCTGCCTCTGTTTTCTTCTATATGTTTTCTGTTGCGCGTAGGCCAATTTGATGAGCAAGAGTCAACTAGCCCAACTAGGCATCGTGATGAAGTAGTTTTACTCTGCCAATTAAAACATTGACTATGATAGTAAGTTGCAGGTTTATAATAGTTAAACAATCCTTTCACAAAGTTATCTGCTCTCCACGATTGGTGGTTGCATCATGTCCGCTTGTCTGCTCCCTAAAGTGCGCCATGCAAAAGTGAAAAGAATGTGGGCTTTCTGGAAGGAGCCTGTCCTGACATTTTCAAACTTTCTAACGGTTACCCCAAACTCTAATCTTTTTTCCCTTCCGTTCGTTCATCCTTGCATTTCTCGCTAAAATTAGCGGGAAAATTGACCTCACGGTGCCAAAACCCGAATTTAGTATCCCCGGTAAATTTAGAGTAGAAAATGATGTCACGCTACCTACAGAACAATTTAACTGCCAAATATAGCGGGAAATTGACGTCAAGAACCAAAAGACAAAATTAGTTTCTCAGTTAAATTTGTCGGGGAAAGGGATATCAGGTGACCTGACGTCACGAGACCTATACACCAATTCAGTTTCTCCGTTCATTTTACGGGGAAACTTTGTTACGTGACGTAACGTTAAGTTAACTATGCACCAGTTTAGTGTCCTAATAAATTTAGGGAAACATTCACCACACTTGATGTTTGTACCAAGTCAAGTTTTCTGCCAAAAATCAGAAAGGAATTCGCAATAATGTATGTACTTCACTTCCCGAAACGACTGTTTAACGTCTGCTAAAGAATTTTAAACGATCGCTCCATAAATTTTGCATTTCTTGCACTATAGCAATTTAAAGATAAGTGCCGTTGTCAGTTTTTAAGCTGTAAGCGACTATAGCATCGAACTCTTAACACCGATCACTAATCCGTTCATGAAGTAAGCGAGTAGTATCGCGTTCTAGTGGTCATTAGATTAGAGCTATCGCGCAGCCCTTAAAGCACTTAACCTGGATCACTATTGAGGTTCGGTGCCACTCAACATCCTCACTCGCTGCGCTGGTTAATTAAAACTTGCTTCTTTCTCTTCCGAAGAAAACGCTGGGCCTTTTACATTCAAATGCATTTTTAAACGAAAACTATTCTGCATTTAATATGCTTAGCGTATACATGTCGTGAGTCAAGAGTCCAGGATGTCTCATGCAACCAAACATTGGCAATCGAAACAAACAGTGTGGTTTACTCTGTTCACATGTAGAAATCGGTTAGGTGGCTAGCTTTGGATGTCCAAATTGACGTGGATAGGTAGGTGGCAACAGGCACAGAATCCGAGCCAGTTTACTGCAGACGACCAGTGGTAATATTCTACCACCAGAAGTCCAAACTAGAGACCACCTCAGTCAATCGCAATATGGTTTCAATAAAATAGGAATCGCTCTAAACAAGATTGATGTAGACTGTTTGAAGTAAACTGCACGACATCCATCCATACATAGGACCTGATTGTAGAAATGGCGGAAAGTAGCCTTGGGTTGAAAATGTGAGGTTTATTCTTTCTCTCTCTCTCTCTCTCTCGTGTATTTATTTCATTCAGACTTCCCCACGGTGTCTGAATGAGGTAAACACATGTCAGGTGATGTTCCACTTCTGTGCCTTCATCACGTCTAGCCCTGAAAATGCCATTAAATATAATTTTTTTTCCTATTTCTGAGCCTCACTGATAAGTTTCGCTCTACCTTCTGCCGTTTAAGCGAATTATTTATTGCAAAGCACGATCCGGGTATTGTGTCTTTATGTATTAAGTATTACTCACTGATTCTCTACACATAGCCTCAACAAGATTTCCTCTGAAGTTCTAAATAAGTGAGAAATTACTACGAAAAAATATTTTACCCTCATGATTTAACTTTTTTTTATCAAATCAAAGCTGAGTGTATGAAAATAATTTTATACTTATTTGTTTCCTTCTACGACCACAACCCGGTCACTCTCAACACTGACGCTACAATATTAAAAAAATAAATCCCAAAATAATGATATGTATTTTCCTCCGATGTAGAAGATCTGAAGTATTGCAGAGCCTTCGCCGCAGGAGTATGCGGTGCCAGGCTCAAAGGAATGGTGTATGTCCTGACCGCCGAAGACCTTCCTTCGTACGGCTGAAAATCGTGCTCCGTGACGCGGAGATGAGCCTCGTGTGCCTCGACTCCCATAAACGTTCCTTTAGCAGTGTATAGGTACGTATCGTTTCCTATATCCTTTAGACGGGAATCTTGGAGAAAGTGGAGCTTGTAAAACCAAGGGATGGAACCGTCCGTGTACTTCACAGCGAAGTCTCCGGTTACGGTGACGGTCGATGTCCAAGGAACTTCCTGCGTAAAACAAAAAGAATGCCAACACCAAAATTTCATTCACTAATCGCAAGAAACAATTTGTTGACTAATAAACGGTCAACAATCTGAAGGCATTACAAGATCAACGTATTTTCCTACTGATTCTACAAAATAAAAAGAAAACGATTGCAACATTGCCGCAATAACGCAGAGAGCAAGTCGTCTGCTTTCTGCGCAGGAGTTGCGGTGACATCAGAAAGACGCCGAGCTCCAATTGGCGTCGACTGAAGGATAGTGCGTAGAATTCAAAAGAAGCTGCCTTGAGGTCTACACGCCATCTTTCATTCAGAACCAATCAGAACTCGGCGTTCTGGCGTCTGCACAACCCGAGTATAAGAAGCAGACGGACTTGCGCTCCGCATAAGTAGGACAATAAAGCCTTGAGCCATAAAACAATGTACCATTGACGTACAATGGCGTTCACAATTACCAATCAATCGAATAATTATTTAGCCAATCACGCACAGTGAATTAGTCGTCGCAAACAAATGCGACGAGCTCCGTGACCATGCATTTTTAGAACCATTGGATTGGCTCCGGTCGGATTCTAGCATTGGCTCCGGTCGGACTTAATGTGTGTCAAACGGAGTATGAACGAACAGCTCCAAACGCACAAGGTACAGGTGTTCGTAATTTATTTACGTGTTCTATCATCGGTTAAGTTAATGAAGCGCACTTAATGCGTCGCGACTTTGCATTTTTAGTCTGTATGTTCGGCCACAGCTTTTGACTGTGATATTCCATAAAACAAACAAAAAACAATCTCCCTTGTCCTGACGACCTCCTGTTCAGTTAGGCATGTTGATAATTGATATACTACCTAGGTCAACATACCCGAACTACGAAATCAACTGCATTGCTCAAGCGAATCACGATACCTGTGATGGCCATCTCAACAACGAAATTCATCCGGGCTTAACGTACCTGCACGGCGTCTGTGATGATCCAGTCAATCTTGACAGACTTCATTGGAGGCACGGTGACGACCTGATTTACCGAGAATGTCTCCGTGTCAGAGACTTCTTCACGGTATCCCCCTTTCAGGTCTAAGCTTATTTTGTGCTCGGTTTCAATGTTCACAATTTTCCAAATACTGGCACTGGCTTTTACGGAGCCGGAATAACTGAAACCAGCTTCAACGTGCCAGCTGGCAGTCTTCTTGTGCTCGGTCTTTCTTTCAAGGGTGGTCGTCTGGGACGAAGACGCCTGCCCATTGTGGACCCACTGAGTATATACCACGTTTGGTCGCTTTGCTGAGCTCTTCGTTGCGCCGTACACCACAGGTCCCGCTGACGCAGTCACCCTGTTGATGGAGAAGAGCTTGTTAATTGTTTGTTTTACTGGCAACGTGCATCGCGACAAGATACATGGGTCCAAGGCGTTTGGAAAGAAGGAGGTTTACTGCTTTGCAATTATCACCAGGGCGGTTTCATTTAAAATGAACAACCTTGTCGGGGTGGATATTTCGATTTTTGCTCTTATATATATATATATATATATATATATATATATATATATATATATATATATATATATATATATATATATAAAGAACACAGTGCCACTGTAAAAACGTCGACGGACGTCAGGCCCCTTTCTTATTTTTATTTTCTTATTTTTAGTTCTTTCTTTTATTTTATTTTCTAAGCTCTTGTGTTTAACTTTGACTTTTATTCCATCCTTCTTTAAGTTTTTTTTCTCCGCGTAACTAGTGTTATTGTGTCTAGTCTTGATTATACTTGTGAACTAATACAACTTTTTTTCAGCACTTCACTTTTTTCTCTTGTGTGACTTGTTTGGCCATTAAATTAGATTTTTTCAATCATCCGATGGCTGCTGTGTCGGCGCACCTTATTTTTGCCTATATATATATATATATATATATATGTGTGTGATGTGTATATGTGTGTGTGTGTGTTATATCCTCGCTAGCGTAGGGAACAAAACAACTTCTCACAAGCTTTCAGAAGAAACGGCTTTGCATAAAAAACACTTTTCAAGTGGAGCAAGGTAGAAAGCTATGTATTTTCACTGCGGGATGTTTGTACCCAGTGCTGTCGGTTTTTAAAAATAGGCAAAAGCGTAAACACCCACTATCCTTTCGGTCGTAAATGTATAACACATGGCCCATAGATTTTATTTCAATTTAAATTGCGTTGCTATATTTTACGCCAGATATGAAAAATTACAAAATTAAAATTTTTGACGTTTTTGGTAACATACTACAGTCTGGGACAAGCTGAGAGTTCAGGGTGAGGGAAAGGAAAGCTGGGAAGGAGGAAGCAGATGGATTTCTGGAGAAAATCCTTATCTGAATTTATTATTACGCGATAATTTATATAAACTTTTAGATTTCTTAAAAATATATTATTAGCCATTATTTGAGCCCGCTATATTTAAAATAGGCAATTCTTTACATCTCTTGTTTTACTTTTTTGTACTATTTCTAATTATGTTAAATTTCTATGAAACTAAGAAACTTTTCTCTTTATTTCTTGTGTTCTCTGTAGAAGCCCTCAGAAGCAGACAGATGCACCCGAATAGGCAAAAGCGCAGTTTCGCAAGTCGGCTTTCCTGCAGCAGTTCTTTGCCTGAAAATATAAGGGTAGCGGCTAGAAAATGTTTGGGAGGTGAAAGGGTGACCGAATGTGGCGCTGAAGGGGTTGGAAGAGAAAGGGGTATGCTGACGTGCCCCCATTAGAAAGAAATGCCTCGCCGTTCCGACCGCATTACTCCTCTCTCCTTGTTTTTTTTTTTCGTTTGGGGGCGGGAGATGCGCATTTAGTTTAGAACATTTTATTTAGTCAAGCTGCATATTTTTTTCCTCATCTCCGTTAATACTTTTAATATATATATATATATATATATATATATATATATTTATTTATATACTTATCTCTGACATTGTCTTTACTTATTTCCATGTTGTAGGCTGTATTGACAATCAGCCCAGGAAACCCAGGTTTTGCACAAAGAAAAAGAAAATGGTAGGAGACAAAATGGTGAGTTGGGCCAGTTGGTTCACAATGGGAAAAGACAAGCGCCGAAAGACTAGGACAAGGTAAGAAGACGACGACACAAGGCGCACTCGAAACTGAAGTTTTATTTATGGAAAAACATAGTCTTATATACACTTTTAACAAACACCCACATCACTTTCCACGTGCCCACTCTTTATCCAAGAATATACGCTCTTTTTCTGACAGAGTCACTGAATGCCCGCTTATGCACTTACCTGCACCCTTCCTTATTGCATACGCCTCATGAATTTCCCTTGTAATCTTTTTGCGGTATCGCCCCAGGATTGCCACATCATTGAAAACTGGTGTGCACTCACATCGGTTGCAATGCACAGCCAGGTGCCCCGAAGGTGACTGTTTTAAGGAAGCAGCATGATCTCTTGCGCGATCATTTACACAACGCCCAGTTTGGCCTACGTAAGACCTACCGCAAGAAAGCGGAATCTCATACACAACACCGGTGTGACACTCCACAAACTTATTCTGGTGTTTTTTCTTACACTCGTCACTCTTCCCTTCGGGATGATTGATTTTCCTGCATAATGCAGAAAGCTTTTTAGGGGCTGAAAAAAACGACAGGAACGTCGTAACGTTCCGCCACCTTTTTTAAGTTATGAGACACTGCGTGAATCTAAGGGACTACAGCGATTCTTATTTTTCGGCGTTCAAGAACGTTCCTTTCCGCACCCCTAAATTTCTTTTTGAGGGCCTCCGCAGCTTCAACAGTGAATCTGAGCGGAAAACCCGCACTTGCGAGCCGATCTACCTGTAGAAGGAAACTCCTTCCCATTTCCTCAGGACAGGATTTGTTCAGAGCGGCTCCGAGGCGCGAAGAGGCATTACCTCTTTTCACTAACTTGTAGTGGGCAGAATTAAAAGGGAGTACAGCTTTCTTGGAGCGAGGCTCGTAAGCCCAGCACACAAGGTCATCTAAGAATTTTAGTTTTAAATCCGAAAATTGTAACGAGCCCTCCGTGGTCCTCTCATGAGCCCTCCGTGGTCCACTCCAAGTTAGTGAAAAGAGGTACTGCCTCTTCGTGCTTCGGAGCCGCTCTGAACAAATCCTGTCCTGAGGAAATGGGAAGGAGTTTCCGTCTACAGGTAGATCGGCTCGCAATTGCGGGTTTTCCGCTGAGATCCATTGTTGAAGCTGCAGAGGGCCTCAAAAAGAAATTTAGGGGTGCAGAAAGAAACGTTCTTGAACGCCAAAAAATAAGAACCGCTGTAATCCCTTACATTCACGCAGTGTCTCATAACTTAAAAAAGGTGGCGGAACGTTACGACGTTCCTGTCATTTTTTCAGCCCCTAAAAAGCTCTCTGCGTTATGCAGGAAAATCAATCACCCCGAAGGGAAGAGTGACGAGTGTAAGAAAAAACACCAGAATAAGTTTGTGGAGCGTCACACCGGTGTTATGTATGACATTCCGCTTTCTTGCGGTAGGTCTTACGTAGGCCAAACTGGGCGTTGTGTAAATGATCGCGCAAGAGATCATGCTGCTTCCTTAAAACAGTCACCTTCGGGGCACCTGGTTGTGCATTGCAACCGATGTGAGTGCACACCAGTTTTCAATGATATGGCGATCCTGGGGCGATACAGCAAAAAGATTACGAGGGAAATTCATGAGGCGTATGCGATAAAGGGTGCAGATAAGTGCATAAGCGAGCCTTCAGTGACTCTGTCAGAAAAAGAGCGTCTATTCCTGGATAAAGAGTGGGCACGTGGAAAGTGATGTGGGTGTTTTTTAAAAGTGTATATAAGACTATGTTTTTCCATAAATAAGACTTCAGTTGCGAGTGCGCCTTGTGTCGTCGTCTTCTTACCTTGTCCTAGTCTTTCGGCACTTGTCTTTTCCCATTATGAACCAACTGGCCAACTCACCATTTTGTTGCAATTCATTTCTTCTGCAACGGGCTCTTTTTTATGTTCCCCTAACTCTTTCCAGTCCACTGTCACGCTCGTTAACTTAATCGCTACTTCCTGCGGCCGTGCAAGAGTGTACGCGTATGCCATTCGCACTGGATACTCGCCACCAGAAGTGCTGGGGATCTTCAATGGCTGTCCGCCTTTCCCTGGCCATGCTAAACGAATGTGCAAGATCATCAGGTCAGAGACTTGGAAACAAGTTGAAAGGTTCCGGGACTGCCTCAAGGTGCTGTGCTACAGAGGGTGTCAAGATCGTACAGCAGCTGAGAGAAGCTACGCCACCCACCTTCGGAATGCCAAAGATGTGACTGAGTTCCTGTGGAAACGAAAACTGTCCTGGCTTCCCAGAAAGCGACCGACCAGAAGGGAGAAGCAAGGTGGGGTTACCTTCCTTGGGGGAGCCTCTCTCCCGTGCAACTTCAAGGCTACGCTTGACAAAGGGCCCAAGTTCGCCGCGGAGCCTAGACTGCCACCACCGGAAAAGCTTTCCCTGGTCCGAAGTTTGGCTGACAAGGTGCTGTCCCAAGACAGGGAGCGCTGCATCGCTGACGGAGTGGATGTGCTTTGCCAAACGGCTGGTCTACGCGCAAGAATCCCGAAGCTGACATCGATCGTTGACCACTTCAGAATTAACAATCTGAAGCTGCTCACGTCTGACAAGGAGGGGGCTTTGTTGTCCTTTCGCAGGAGCTATACTGGGAAAAGGCCGAGCATGCTGTCCTTAAGAACTTCAAGCACGTACAGCCAGGATCCCTGAACAAAGTGAAGGTGAGGGCAAAAGAATTGTGCGGCGAACTGTCCCTCTCCGCCTTGGAGAGGAAGGTGAATTCCTGCAAGAAACTTGCCATGGACCTGTTTTTTACGGCAAAAACCAACAAGCCAGATGTACCTTTTAGAGCAATCGTTACTGAAAGAGATACGTGGCAGATCCAGGTATGTTCCTTTCTCCGCACCCACCTATCAAGCCTAAAACTGCAGGGTGAATTTTTGGTCCGAAATTCAGAAGAAGTGATTGAATTTTCGAAAGAAGGGTGTAGAGGGAAGTGCGACGCTTTTTCAGTTGATATTGAGGATCTCTTTTATTCAATTCCGCATGCCGTCCTCTTTAACACTGTTAGAAGTTGCATCGAGAGCAGCGGTGAAACAGCCTTTCGTAGCACTTGCAGGATAAGTGTAGAAGGTTTCGTTGAACTCTTATCTTTTTTATCTTGACCACACCTATGTCTCCTTTGGTGGAGAGATGTTTTTTGCAAAAACGGGGTATCTGCATCGGTTCGCGGGTTGCGCCTATTCTGTGCGACAATTTTTTGGCACACTGCGACCGCGCTATTCTTGAGAAGCTCGGAGGTGATAGCCTT